AGGTGGCTGACCGCTGCCTGTGAGCTCCGGGGCAAGAAAGCCCCGTTCGTAAGTGCAGATCCGACATAAGTCAGATCCGCGTAAGTTGGGGACTGCCTGTACATCATTTTTGGTGTACTTTTTCTAATAATTTTTGGTTTCCCTTTTTCCTCACTTTATCCCACTTCCTCTTTCTAATTCTGGGGTTCATTCTCTCATCTTCTCCCCACCCCGCTGCCTGTGAGCTCCGGGGCAAGAAAGCCCCGTTCGTAAGTGCAGATCCGACATAAGTCAGATCCGCGTAAGTTGGGGACTGCCTGTACATCATTTTTGGTGTACTTTTTCTAATAATTTTTGGTTTCCCTTTTTCCTCACTTTATCCCACTTCCTCTTTCTAATTCTGGGGTTCATTCTCTCATCTTCTCCCCACCCTCCTTTCCTTTGTCTCCTCTTTTACACTTCCTATTGTTAAAGTAAAAAGCAGGACTATGTAGCACTTTAAAGACTAACAAGATGGTTTATTAGATGATGAGCTTTCGTGGGCCAGACCCACTTCCTCAGATCAAATAGTGGAAGAAAATAGTCACAACCATATGTACCAAAGGATACAATTAAAATAGTTGTGACTATTTTCTTCCACTATTTGATCTGAGGAAGTGGGTCTGGCCCACGAAAGCTCATCATCTAATAAACCATCTTGTTAGTCTTTAAAGTGCTACATAGTCCTGCTTTTTACTTCAGCTACACCAGACTAACACGGCTACATTTCTATTACTATTCCCATTGTTAACTTATTCTTGTCTAATTTACACCCTCACTGCATGCCAACTTTCTCCCTGCCTGCATTTTCTTCATATTATCAATATGAAGGACTTGACTGATACAGGGCTGTGGAAAGGGGGTTCAGATCTTCAACAGTTTTTAGGCTTGGTTTTACAAGGAGAAAAGGTTGTGTGGTTTGGCACATACTGGAATATTTCTGGGCATTATCTGTTAATTAAGTACTGGATCTCCATTTTCATGAATCTTAATATTCTCTTCCATAACATTTTGTGTGTGTGTATATATATTTGTTAATAACCTGGGTGCCTACCATGGTGGCACAAATATATATACACACACAAAATGTTAATAACCTGGGTGCCTACCATGGTGGCACGTCCAAACAAGCGCACATGACTTTTATATAGGTGCACAAGACAAAACTCATGCCGCTCCTGGATGGAAAAATCTTTGAAGGAACACTAGTCCACACCACCATGCCTGTTCCACTGACTTAAGTGCCATTAAAGTCTATTTTGATACTCCTACTTTGAAGAGGAACTGCTAAATTGAAAGGTTGCCCATGCAATGTTAAAAGTGCTGTGTCTGCACTACTGCAAGTCAACGTTTCTGGTCTCTGGGAGGTGTCCCACAGTGCCTCACTAGGACTACTCTGACCCTGCTCCAGGAGAGCAGGAAAAGCCAAGAAAATTTGAAGTCAATTTCCTGTGTAACCAGCATCATGAGCAGGCAGTACATTTGAACATGAGCCCCATGA